CCGGCGGCGTTGTTGGGTGGCGGCTACGGTAGGTTGTGAGTCGCTTGGGTGACATTTCACACATAGGAGAGTAGGAGATTATGAGTACATGCTCGGCATCTAGGGTGCACACGTATAGCTTATTACAAAAGCCATACCTTGGGGACAAACTAGTTAGTAACATAAAGTGCCGGAAAGGTAGGAGGAAAACAAAACTCGAAGAGAGCACTCACTTTATATAGGGAAAAAAAAGAGCACTCAAGATGCACCGCTAATGTCTCTGACACCCATCAAGCCCCCATCACAAGCTCACGGTTCCCCGGTCCCTAATGTGAACACAGATTTTTTAGATAATGTGTTGGTTCATGTGCATATTCCCTAACGACAACATTTTTAGAAAAGCCATACTGACCAACATAGGCGAAGCCCCAGCCAGGATAAGAGAACTCAACTTTTTATTTAATCTTAACAAACAATCACCAAAAAATTTATTAATACACGAGGAGTATATAAGTTAGATACCACATGGAAAATTAGACATCCATCATGATAAAAAAATCCTGGTTAAATAATAAATATTTATTAGTGTCGAGCAACATTTTGAGTTGTTGCCCCTATTACTTTTAAGTAGAATTAATGTCGTTAGTCAAATGAAAGGATGTGTTTAAATTCTCTCATGCACTCAAATATGGGTCTCTCGTGCATATTAATTACATTTTTCTGTATATTTACCTTGGGAATATTACATAATTTTTAAGCACAAAAAATATAAGAATGTGTAATAATTTTGTGTGTGTATATATATGTACTCAATGAACAGGCGGGATGACCTGGAGAATGTTATGGGATTTGACAAGGACATGGAGATTCTTAAGAGGATGTTGGTCCATAAAGATGAGAATAGTCACCACCAAATGTTCATATCCATTGTTGGGGAGAGTGGTGCAGGGAAGAACACACTCGTAAAGCTTATTTGTGATCAGATATGTACAGAGATGGATGTTTTAATCAGGTACGACATGATGCCCGGTTCCAGCACAAAAGATCTCCTCAAAGATGTGTACAAAATGGCATTGCGTCAATCTGCATGTCGGTGTCATGAGATGGAGGTGGAAGAAGATACTGATAGTATAAGTGAAAAGATCCATGGTTTGCTTAGTACAAAGAGGTACTTATTGATCCTCAGTGGGATTTCCTCCAAAAGCACTCTTAGTTGCGTGAGGGCGAGCTTGCCCGACAGTGGCAATGGAAGTCGTGTGATGCTCATCTTGGACAGTGAAAATGAAGAAGTCGCTTGGCATGCTAATACCATGAATAGAAATGGCTTCAATGGAGTACACCTGATGAGCCCATTGGATCAAGCAAGAAGTGCACAACTATTCTTTCGGAAAGTGCTGAGAAAAGCACAGTATGAGTCATGGTTGTCAGCCAGCGAAAAGCGAAGAAACCAGAATGATGAGAGGTGTGGTCGACATTATGAGTTACCAGGAATGATTGGGAATGAGCAAGAGGAGGAGTATCGAGATAATGATTTCCAGAGAAATGTTCATAGTGTGACGGGAGGACACCCCATGGGCATACTGCTTCTGGCTGGAATGCTTCGGTTCAAGGAGAAATCAATTCAGTGGGATGTAGTGTTAGAACAACTCATGTCTGCAAGGTATCCGCAGCAGTATCCGCATCAACAAATGTCCAGCACAACAAGAAGGGCGATAGAGAGCATCTTCTGGACGAGCTTTGAGGATCTCCCCAATGATCTGAAGTCATGCTTCTTATACTTCGCCGCCTACCCGCAGGACACATGGCAAGATGCTGATGAGATCGTTCACATGTGGATAGCAGAAGGCTTCATCAACAAGAGGCCATCACAACATGGGAAGACTCTAGAGGAGGTCGGGCATGGCTACCTGAAGGAATTGGTCTTGAGATGCCTTCTTCAGCTGGAGGAGAGGAAACTTGGCCATGGCATTGGGGTAGTCAAAGTTCATAGAAGCCTTCTGGGGTTCCTGCAGTCTGAGATTTCCAAGATTGGCTTCATGGATATTATCCACAATGTTAAATATAATGTCGTTTTGCCGCCATCAATGCGTCGCATCTCTGTCCAGAGTGATTGTATACCGATGTATACCACCTACCAAAAATTCCCAAAATTGCATTCCTTCATATGTCACATTGATGAGAAGAAGCACAAACAAGTTGAAGCTCGGCAGATGTGGACAAAGAAGAAGAGTGTTCACAATGATATCAAGTTTCTATGTTGGTCAAAGTTCCTTCATGTAGTCTCCTTGAAGGGGCTGATGCTTGAAGCTTTGCCGTGTGAGCTTGGTGACATGATCCAGCTGCGATACCTATGTGTCGACTGCCCCGACCTGCACATTCTTCCATCCAGCATTGCCAGGCTACTCAACTTGCAGACGCTCGACATCAGAAATACCCAGGTAGAGGAGATTCACCAGGATTTTTGGAAGATCAAGACTCTTCGTCATGTGCTTGCAAAAACACTGGCACTTCCTGCAATGCCAATGCCACTAGGTGTGGAAGAACAAGAAGATGATGAGGTTGTTAGTGAGCTACAGACGCTCCACGGCGTAAAGCCCGCCTCCTCGGGGTTGGGAGAGTGGACCCCATTGAACAAAAATATGACAAGAAGCCTACGGTCATTTGAGATGCACGGTTTCCAGTATGCAGGACACGGAGGACCTATATTTGAGGCTGCTCTCCAGAACATGTATCTCCTTGGCCACCTGAGTCTACAAGGTGATGAGATTCCTTCATGCGTCTTCACCAACACAGGCCTTCAGAGCCTCGAGACCATGGAGCTACATGGAAAAGTGAGGTGGGATGACATCGTTCCAGTGGTGGATCTTCTTCCCAAGGTCCGTCCAAACCTCGTGCAAATCAAAATGCGAGATATCAATGAGGTACCTAAAATCATCAAGCAACAACTAGGAACAATGCTGATTGGAGGTGATTAGAATATGCAGGTTTTGTATGCCTTCTCAATGCTCGTGCAAATTATGCTTTCCTACTTATGGCTTAATTTTGTGCTTTCTTCAATTCATCAAGGGAAACAAGACTCGTGCAAACCGGACGGCGAAAGAACCAAGCTGCATGTGGCATGATTTGGCGTGTTTTCCTTTTATTTTCTCTTCCAAGTGTTCTTCGCTTAAACAATATGCATTTAATTTGTTTCTTGTTATGACTTGTTTGGTTCGAACAGAATGTATCCATTAATCATGTGTTGTTGTGCATGAACCGTTTACGTATGTGAAATAGAAAACAAGCAAAATGAGTGCATTTGCATTCAGATGCCTTCTTGGGTAAGGTCCCTTGATTATTTCATATGAGCATTTAGTAGGCGAAGAGACAACACTTCCTCTGCTACATGCTTTTGAGTGTATGTTCATGTGTTTCTTATAGAAAAACTAAGGTAGCCTAGTCTACTTAAACAAAAATATGGAGCAAGGATGTGTAAGTTTCTTGTTCTATGATGCGATCCATACAAATTCTTTCATAAGTAAAGCATGTGTATTATGCTATGTAGCCTTGAGTTGTGATCATCAAAGCATTTATTCATATTCTATGCATATAAACAAATTCTTCATGAGGCGTAGAGATTTTTTTTAGAAAAGGGGGATCCCGGCCTCTGCATCAGAACGATGCATACGGCCACCTTTATTAAGAAGCAAATAAGTTCAACATAGGTCCTGAAGTCTCAAAATGAACGAAGCAAAAAAGCTCACAAAGAGTATGATGGTAAAAATAAAGCCACAACCGGCTGGCAAAACAAAGATAGGAAAACTAGCTGCCTATCCTATTACATGACTGCCATCCAAACCGGTTGAATATAGCCCGAGCTACCATCTCACATCGGATAGATCCAGTAACCAAACGCTTCCTGGCCTCTGTCTGAGTGAGTAGCGACCACATACGGATCAACGCAGTGGCTCGGAAGATAACCTGCAAAAAATGAGTATTTGTTGTTCTGTTAAAAATCAAATCATTCCTGCAGTTCCAGACTGCGCACAGTAAATCACATACTCCTACATGAATGTGTCTCGCTGTTTCAGATTCTATCCCACCAAGCATGTGGAGATTGATTTGCATTTCGTGCGCGACCGTGTGGCACTTGGGGAGGTCAAGGTGCTACATGTTCCTACAGAGTCCCAGTTCGCTGATGTCTTCACCAAGGGGCTGCCGTCTTCGGTCTTTTGTGACTTCCGCTCCAGTCTGAACGTCTTCCCTGGCGCCGTTCAGACTGCGGGAGGGGGGGGGGTGTTGAGCTGTCACGTTATCCATTGTACCCTGTGATGTATATCTTGTTGATGTTGTAACTAAGTAGTCCTAGTCTCCAGGAGCTTTCCTAGTCTAGCGTCATCTCCTGAGATCATGCCCTGCATGTAGGGCAGTACCGTGTATATGTAACCGGCTCTGACTAAGGCAATACATTGTGAGATTCATTATCCTTTTGTAACCTCTTTCATCTCTATCTTCTCTCTTTAACTTAGTTCTCAAGATGTAATCTCAACAGCCTGTATGCATATCTAAGGGATACACCCCTGCCTATATAACACGAAACCGTCGCCTCCAACGAGGTACAACGTTCATCGCTACTTTACAGGTGGCGAGCATTCTAGCAGCTCGTCATCAAGTGTGGTTCAGCCCAAAGAGCCAGGACTCCGGTGGGCGCTGCCGCCGGCAGGATGGACGGCACTGAGCGTTGACGGCTCACTCTGCATGCACGATGAGACAGCAGGTGCCGGTATGGTCTCATGGGATTCTGCAGGAGTGATCATATTCTCTTCTTGCATAGAGCTGCGGTCCTGTACGTCGCCGCTCGAAGCAGAACTTGAAGCATGCAGGGAGGGGATCCAGCTTGCACTCCAAGACAAGAGTTTAGACAGATAGCGAATGCTATTGCTGCTTGAATAATATATAACTCCTTTTCCACCGCAAAAGAAAAACTCACCAATGCTGGACGCGCCCGCTGCTTCCAACAGATCTGGCGCCGGCTGGACGGCAATGGTGTACTCACAAGAGACTCTTTGTTATTTGGTTGCAGGGTTGCTTGAGAGAGACCATCTTCATCCTACGCCTCCCACGAATTGATAAACATTAGGTCATCCACTTGAGGGAAATGTGCTACTTGTTGACGCAATAGACCTAGCTCATGATGCCACTGTTGGGGAACGTAGCAGAAATTCAAAATTTTCCTACGTGTCACCAAGATCTATCTATGGAGAGACCAGCAATGAGTAGAAAGAGAATGCATCTACATACCCTTGTAGATCGCTAAGCGGAAGCGTTCAAGAAAACAGGGTTGAAGGAGTCGTACTCGTCGTGATCCAAATCACCGGAGATCCTAGTGCCGAACGGACGGCACCTCCGCATTCAACACACGTACAGCCCGGTGACGTCTCCCATGCCTTGATCCAGCAAGGAGAGAGGGAGAGGTTGAGGAAGACTCCGTCCAGCAGCAGCACAATGGCGTGGTGGTGGTGGAGGAGCGTGGCAATCCTGCAGGGCTTCGCCAAGCACCGCGAGAGAGGAGGAGCACTTGGGAGAGGGAGGGCTGCGCCAGGGCAAGGGTGAAGCTCCCATGCGCCTCCCCACTATATATAGGGGTGGAGGGGCTGGTTTCTTGCCCTCCAAGTCCATTGGGACATTGGCCAAGGTGGGAGGAAAGAAATCCCATCATTTCCTTCCTCACCGATTGTTATCCCCCCTTTTTAGGGATCTTGATCTTATCCCTTCGGGATATGATCTTATTCCTTCTAAGGGGGGATCTTGGTGCGCCTTGACCAGGGGTGTGGGGCCTTGCCCCCACTACCCACGTTCATGTGGGTCCCCCCATGTAGGTGGGCCCCACTCCGGAACCTTCTAGAACCTTCCCGGTACAATACCGAAAAATCCCGAACATTTTCCGGTGGCCAAAATAGGACTTCCCATATATAAATCTTTACCTCCGGACCATTCCGGAACTCCTCGTGACGTCCGGGATCTCATCCGGGAATCCAAACAACATTCGGTAACCACATACAAACTTCCTTTATAACCCTAGCGCCATCGAACCTTAAGTATGTAGACCCTACGGGTTTGGGAGACATGCAGACATGACCGAGACGTTCTCCGGTCAATAACCAACAGCGGGATCTGGATACCCATGATGGCTCCCACATGTTCCACGATGATCTCATCGGATGAACCACGATGGCAAGGACTTAATCAATCCCGTATTCAATTCCCTTTGTCTATCGGTATGTTACTTGCCCGAGATTCGACCGTCGGTATCCAATACCTTGTTCAATCTCGTTACCGGCAAGTCACTTTACTCGTTCGTAACACATCATCCCGTGATCAACTCCTTGGTCACGTTGCGCATATGATGATGTCCTACCGAGTGGGCCCAGAGATACCTCTCCGTTTACACGGAGTGACAAATCCCAGTCTCGATCCGCATAAAACAACAGATACTTTCGGAGATACCTGTAGTGCACCTTTATAGTCACCCAGTTACGTTGTGACATTTGATACACCCAAAGCACTCCTACGGTATCCAGGAGTTACACGCTCTCATGGTCAAAGAAAGAGATACTTGACATTGGCAAAGCTCTAGCAAACGAACTACACGATCTTTGTGCTAGGCTTAGGATTGGGTCTTGTCCATCACATCATTCTCCTAATGATGTGATCCCGTTATCAACGACATCCAATGTCCATAGCCAGGAAACCATGACTATCTGTTGATCACAACGAGCTAGTCAACTAGAGGCTCACTAGGGACATATTGTGGTCTATGTATTCACACGTGTATTACGATTTTCGGATAATACAGTTATAGCATGAATAAAAGACAATTATCATGAACAAGGAAATATAATAATAACACTTTTATTATTGCCTCTAGGGCATATTTCCAACACTACTGTCCTACAAACCTCTGCACTTGGAGGCCCAACAACGTCTACAAGAAGAAGGTTGTGTAGTAGACATCAGTGCCCAGCCGGATTCGATTGGCGCGCATATACGCGGTTCGGAACTTATGGCCAGAAATGAGTCCGAAGTTCCGATTGCACTGGCCTCATTGGAGGTCAGATCCGTGTTCAGCTCTAACGCAATTGAGTCTACGGTTTCCGTGGCGGGGTCCAGCCTCCCATCCTCGGATGGCGTGATCTGCTCTGGATCTAGGGCCAGGGCGGTTACGGGCGCTATCTCCTGCACACAGTCTGATGAAAGATTTAGGTCATGTTCATCGTGGCGAGAAGGCGTGGCTGTCATGGGCTCGAATCCCTCAAAGATCAAGTCTCTGCGGATGTCAGCGGTGTAGTTCAAGCTTCCAAACCTGACCTGATGGCCAAGGGCGTAGCTGTCGATCTGGTCTATATGGCCAAGCGAGTTGGCCTGCAGTGCGAAGACGCCGAATACGAAGATCTGTCTGGGGATCTCACCCCGGACTGTGTTATTGTAGATGATTGAAGGAGCCATCGAGCCTTATGATGACGACGCAGTGGAAATCTCAATGAAAGCACCAATGTCGGTGTCAAAATCGGCGGATCTCGGGTAGGTTGTCCCGAACTGTGCGCCTAAGGCTAATGGTAATAGGAGGCGGGGGACACAATGTTTACCCAGGTTCGGGCCCTCTGTATGAAGGTAATACCCTACTTGTTGCTTGGTTGATCTTGATGATATGGGTATTACAAGAGTTGATCTACCACGAGATCGTAGTGCCTAACCCTAGAAGCTAGCCTATGATTATGATTGTTGCCTAACCCTTCGGTTTATATAGATATCGGAGGGGGTTAGGGTTACATAGAGTCGGTTATAGAGACAGGAATCTACATATCCGAATCGCCAAGCTTGCCTCCCACGCAAAGGAGAGTCCCATCCGGACACGGGACGAAGTCTTCTATCTTGTATCGTCATAGCCCAACAGTCCGACACATGCATATAGTCCGGCTGTACGAGGACCCCTTAATCCAGGACTCCTTCAGTGACTTCCCCATGAAGCCTTTACGGACACTCGCACGGCTCCATAAAGCTTGGAAAATTGTACTACTCCCTCCATTTTTATTTACTTTGCATATTAGGTTTCACTAAAGTCAAACTTTGTAAAGGTTGACCA